ATCTATTTTAAACTTGGTCAAATAAACCAACTTTATATTCATTAAGTCCTTAACATTTGTCCTTAAGTTCCTTTTGCTAAAGATTGCAGAAACTCATCTGGGCAATTAAATGTGCTATCTGAAAGTTCCAAATCTCTGAAAAACAGTTATGTAATTTCCAAAAGATGGTGAGAAAGGAAGTATGCAACGGTGCCAAACCTGGTTTGAGTAGGATAGCTTATTCCCTTGTCTCCTATAGCATTAAACCTATCACAGGTTGCTTTTTTGTAGTTTCCTTGGGAGGAGCAACTGTTTAGAGCACGTGTGGGCGATCTCAAGCCCTCTCTCTTGTCCAGAGAGGAATCCCGAAGAGCCAAATCCCTCCATGGTTCCTTCATGATTGCAGGCTCTGCTATCAGTTCCTTGGAGGAGATCTGCTGGGCTGCGAGTTTTCCATGTATGGCAACTCTTTTAAGGGATCTTTCTGAGGTAAAACCAAGCACATCTTCCATATTTGCTGGGGCTCAGCTGCAGCTTCTTACCTGCCTACCTTCCTCCCCCCCCCCCCCCCCCCCATCTAGCAGCTGAGGTTTCACCTGAGGGGAAGGAAGACTGAGAAACTGGCAGGTTGCCCGCTTGTTCGTGACAACAAAATGCAAAGCTTTGAGGCGCAGGGAAAACCATCCTTGTCTTGGCTTGCCCCTCCTGACGCTGGTAGGGGAGGCATGCGTAGGTGACAAGGAAGAGAACCTGGAGTCCTGACAGCAGGTAGGAGGTGTGGGCACAGCCCTGGCATTTTGCCGTGTGGCAGTGTTTGTTTTTCTCAGAAAACGGATTTGGACCAAGAGGAGGGCTGTCTTCATTTGGCAAAGGCTCATAAGGAACCGTTCTCATGTTTCCAAGGAGTCTGGGTCTATTTTTCACGAGGACCCTCCGACGCAGGCTGGGTCAAGTCAAGGACACCCGGCAAGGATTTCAGGAGCGCAACTTTAATAGATCAACAGAGTTGGAAGGGACCTTGTAGGTCATCTAGTCCAACCCCGCCCAAGGGGGAGATCCTGCACCATTTCTGACAAACAGCAGTCCAGTCTCTTCTTGAAAGCTTCCAGGGATGAAGCTCCCATGACTTCTGTGGCTTGAAGGATAAAATTAACAGAATCTTGAAATATCTGTGCAAGTTTCTTCAGTTAATACTAAATAAAAGTCAAGACACCGTTATTTTGAGTTGCACCCCCCCCCCTCACTTTTCATGCAGTATGACAACTAAAATGTGTGTACAAAACGTTTGGCTACACCCAGGCTAGTACTGGAACGTTAACTTCTAATAATTCCTCTTTAGTTTTGGGACTGTGGCTCGAGGCTCATGACTGAATTGGAGTAACTGCCGGAATCCTGACAGAATACCTGCAAGGTGCAAACTCCTTCCCCAAGATCAGCTCTCGATTCCTTTACAACTGATCCTCGAAATCTGATCCTACCGCTATCAGACCCGCATCTCGAGTCCTGTGGGAGGTTTGAGATGCTTCATTTCCGCAGGCTCAGACAAACGGCAGCCCAGAGGAACAAAAATAAGAAATTTCACTCCGAGAGAGACTAAATATAGGTAGTCCTTGCTTAAAGACCAGTTGCTTAGCAACTGTTCAAAGTTACGATGGATCACCCCAGAATTATTTACGGCCTGATTTTGAAATGTCAATGGCTTACACACACACACCTTGGTCCCAGGATTGCCTTCTGGGTGCCTGAAACAAATTAATGGTCATTTGCAGAACCCCATAGTCACGTGACCCCAATTTTTGATGTTCTTTTGCCAGTTTCTAGCATTATTTTCCACTGTCTGGCAAAAAATGCCCCCTGAGCAAAACAAGTTTGCTTAATGACTGCCAGAAAAAAAACGGGATTAAATCCAGTATGGGCCCATGGTGATCCACTGAACGACCACTATGACATGCGACTGTAACTCCCGGCTCAATTAGGGCCGTAAGTTTGAGGACTACCTATAAAAGAAATACAATAATATAAATGAAATTTCCCCTGAAGGGGAATTTTGATACCCTGAACCTCAAAAATAATATGCTAAAGCATGGGATGTGCTAAATGGATGGAGGGCTTATTCAGCACTTATTTTTTTATATTAGATTTGTATTTCCACCTATTTGCACAAATGGTGACTCAAGGCGGCTTACAAGAGTATAAAAACATCATATGAAAACAATTCAGAAAAGAGTTTTGAAACTGCATTTTGTAACAGGCCAAACGGCAAATCGCTTCCTCCTTCCACCCCAACCCGTCGTCTTTCATGGCCAAGCCATGAAAAGCCAACAGAGGTTCCTCCGAAGCTAAAATTCATCTCTTGCCTCTTCCCCGTTTCCTTTTCTTTTTTTGTTTTAACAATAAGGACAACAAATAAAACTTCTTTCAATTTTAGTGTGTCGGTTGGGTACATATATCTTGTGCGCACAGTAATATTTTACATTTCTTAATTATCTTTATAAACCATTCTAAGCAATATTTTATATCATATTATTCAATTATCATTAACATTATAGTTATTTAAAAAAACATCTGTCTTGCTAAATTATGTTCATTCTCTTACTCATTCAAGATTGGTCAATTATATATATTATTACTATTGCCACATATTTCAGTTTCTTATTCTCCTATCTAACCCTTCATAAAATAAATCCCAAATCTTGTAATACTCTTTTTCCTCCTGTTCTCTAAATGGGATTGTTAGTCTACTCATTTCCGCACATTCCACTATTTTAATTGTTTCCTCCTCTGTGGGAATTTTCTCATTTTTCCGATTTTGTGCAAATACAATTCTAGCTGCTGTTATCCTCTTCCCCAGTTTCCAAACTGCATCCAGCAACCAAGCAAAAACGGGCCTTTTCCTGCCAGGGGCTTAACTGGGAAGGATGGAGAGGTCTGTGCCAGGAATGTCACGGATCTCTTTATCCTTCCCGGTTTAGCCCCTGGCAGGAAAAGCCCCGTTTTTGTTTCGTTTCTGGATGCAGGATTTCCCGACAAGAATTCAGAATCGATCCTTCCGCGCTAGAAATTGGAATTAAATCTGGAGAAGTGCCATGGGCAGCTTGGGACTCCAAGTTGGCTCTTCTTTAGCAGCGGCTGATCTCTGCTGACAGGAACGTGGCATTGCAGTGGGGCAGGACAGGCATAATTGATCGGAGGGGGTTGTGTAGGGACGGCAACTTTGCTACACAATCCTTTTCCTGCCCGGTGGGTTGAGTAAACTTGAAATAAGGAGTCAGGAAGTAAGCTACATTTTCCCTCCCCGGTTTTGATTTCCCTTGGCTCATTTTTAGTTACTCCGTTAAAAGACCTCCTACCCAGGTTGCAAAATTTCAGGCTACCGTGGTGGCACAGGTGAGGAGGTGGGGACCTTCAAATTCTCTCACTTTACGATAAAATGCATTTGTACTTGGCTTGCAAAATTCAAGGGGAATATATTTTAAAAGGTCAGGAGTTTGATTTTATCTTTAGGAGCTGGAATAAATCTCTGCCTCTAAGATTGTGGATGGTCAGGAAGCCTTTAAAAAAAACAACACACAACTAACCCTGCCCAACCCACTAGACAGTCCCAGTGGACAGATAAGATGAAATTATTACTAGATGGCTCCTGTTTTTGCAATTCTTCTGTCTGGTATGTGGGTAGAAGGCAGCTGCGAAAAAAACAGATGCTTTAATCCCAAATCTTCCTCCCACTGATGACTGCTCTTCACCAGGAACTCAAAGACTCTTTGAAGGATTGCAGAAAGCAGATAATCTTTGATTTAGATCGTAATCAAGCCGGGAATTATGGTTATAAATCTCTGCGGTTGTTAAGTCGGGGCATCGGGTGACCTGTTGCGAAGTTTTGACAAGCCCGACTCTTGGCGCTTATCAACTACCGTCTGTTAAGCAAAAAAAAAAGAAAAAAAGTGTGTGGGAACAGCCCCCAACAGCTGCAGAAGAAGCCCAAATATGATAGAAACCAATGTGGGAGGCTTTGGGAGGAGAGGAGAGCAGAACAGGGAACTCTGTTCTTTCAAAAAAATAAAATAAAAAATGGGGGTTTGCCAGAGGCCCAGCCCTTCATGGTCTTGTGCCTATGACCAACATGCCTTCTTGACCTGAACATCTGGAGGGCATCCACCCACGGGAGCCTAGCTTCAAAAGAATGCAATTCAAAGGATGACCGAAGCTGTGAATGAGTCGCCTTTCCTTTCCGTTTATTTCCTGAGCCTCGGACAAAGCTTCTGCCTGCTGCCCTCAGGGCCACTGACCAGGGAAAAGAAGGATGCTGTTCCCTTCTTTGCCATTCCTAGACCGTCGTCCTGCCCCTGGCACGGACTGGAGATTTACTCTTGCTACGCTGGCATGAAATGTTTGGGCGCAATCCAACGCAACTGCCAGGCCTCTGCTTGGATGTGGCCATCTTTGGAGAAGCCTGACTTCCCTTAGCTCCTACACTGTAGCTTCCTCTGGGGAAAGCGAAGGTCTGCTTCGTATCACCGTGCCCACATTCTTCTAAAAGTTTGGAGAAAGAGGTGGCTGAATCTGGGTGGTGGTGGTGGGTGGTAGGTGTGCATTTATGACAATCGGGCCATGGGGCGATTCGCTGAGGAGCAAGAGTAACGCTAATATCAAAGGAACGGTAGAAATGCAATCATTACAGAAAGGATGCAAAAGGAGGGACAATGAATGATTAAAAATTAACTGTTTATTAATAATTTAAATAATTGAATGGTTACATCGTCCTGCTGCAAGTTGGCCGTGATGAGTTGATTGTGGTGAGTTGTCCCATTCGGGGTGAGTGTCTGTGTGTGTGTGTATCTGTCTATCCTATTTTTTTTTTTCAGTCCTCGGACAACAATCGCCTTTGATCTTTTAGGACATTTTGTGACCACATCTGTCCCTCCAGACGCCCTTTGCCAAAATGAACAGCCCCCCCCCCTTCTTTTCTCTGCCCCAGCCCACAACCCCTATTTTGAAAGGCAGCTGGTGCTTGATTCTTGTTTCCAAATGCAACGATCACAGCTGAGGGCGCAGAGGCAGTCTCCCCCTGAATACCAGCCGCTGAGGATAAAGAATGCCGGTGGCTGTCACGACCTAGGAATGCGTGGCGTGCAAGCATCCAGTGAACGGCGCTTCTTTTTTTGGTGGGGGGAGGGGGGGCCATGCAGAACAAACAGCCCCTCTGGCCAGTGCTCTGACTCCATCCAGTGTTGCAAACCTCTCCCTGAGTTCTGAAGAGACGCTGGGGAACCAGCCATAGAGGAGTCACACGCCCCCACTTTACACACGCGTCAATGACTCAGGGCCCCCCATTCGTATGAAAGGGGAGATTTTAGACGGGGGAGACCTCAGGCCCTCTCCCTTTGCAGCCGGGCCCCGGGGGTGGGCGTGTCCCCTTATCTCCTCGCGTTTATGCTCTTCACGGCTGGGTTTGGGTACTCTGGGTTTTCAATCACCCCTTCCCCAAATTTGAGTTCTAGGAAGCTGCGGTAATTGTTGGGAACCAAAGCCACGAAGCCGGCAAACTCGATGGGCACCAGGGGCTTTAGGAAATGCTCAGGAAACTCTACGTCCTGCCGGTGGTCCATCCAGGTGTCCTTGGTCATCACGCCGTTCTTGGGGTAGAAGGGCCACAGGTCCACGTGCAGGTGGTTGTGCTCACTGTACTGGACCCGGTAGAAGTCGCCCTCGATGGCTTTTTCCCACACAAAGCCCTTCTCGTCCACGATGGACCCCGACTCGGCGCTCCGGAGCATCTCGCAGTTGGGAACGTCTTCCAGGTAGATCCCCAGGTCCACGTCGTAATCCCAAGGGATGATGTCCTGGTGGCGGGCTGCCCCAAGGAGCGTGCCCCCCTCCAGCCAGTACCGCACCCCGGAGGTTTCCAAGACGTTGATGACGTACTTGGCGGTTTCTCTCAGGGCCTTGAGGCAGCACGGCGGCGTCCAGCGGTCCTGGTAGAGGTATTCCGGTGTGTCGTCGTGGATGGTTCCGAAACACCGCGGCGTCTCCTTGCTGCACCCAAACCACTGCTGCTTGCCATCTTCCACAATCACCTGCTTGATGCCGAAATCCCGGAAGAGCCGCAGCTCATTGGACTTGGCCAGGTTATCAGCTTTCCACTGGTTGTGGGAGGAGGTGAGCAGTGGCAAGTGGAACAAAGAGAAGGGGCGGTCCAGGAGGCGGACGGACCACCCTCGCAGGGAGGTCTGGATGAAGAGGGAGGTCAGCAAAGGTTTGGCCAGAGGCAGGGAGAGGTTGAAGAGGCTGCGGGTACGGAGGAGCACCACGGCTTTCCCCTTCAAGGCGGTGCAGAGCTTGGAGGCAGGAGGCGTCTCGCTGTACTCCGCGGTCCATTCCTTGAGGTTGACCTTGAGGTGAAGGCACCGGAAGGGCAGCAGGGAGTGGACCGCAGCTGCCACCATCTCTACTTTCCCTTGGCTGCTCTTGAGCTCCTCCAGCATTTCTTCCAGCTGAGACGCGGACTCCACCCTCACCCCGTCGGGCACCAAGGCCACATACTCCGTCTTCACGTAAGTCTCCGGCCTGGATACGAAGGCCGGCTGATCCGGGGAAGGTTTGAGGATGACCAGCTGGACGTTGGGCACCTTGGGAAGAAGCAAGGGGGGGTAGGGCAAGCTGTCAGCCACCACCAGGATGGGCAGCTCCGGATCCTGCTTCAGGAAAGACTGCACCACGCTGGAGACGTAGTTCTCGAAATCTTCAAAGTCTCGGATGAGGAGGGTGACGCCGGGGCGGAGGGGCCCCAGGTGCTGAGGGTGGCTGGGCTGGGCGTGGTCCCTGTGCCGCTGTAGGACATGCTGCTGCAGCCTGGAGATGTAGTAGAGGATCAGCAGGTTAAGGGCGATGGCGGCGGCCAAGACGCCTTGGCAGAAGGTGACTCGCATCTTGCAAGGTTTGGGTCGAGGGGTTCCGGCCTGTGGCCCGCAAAGGGTCCTGCGGCTCCAGACTTGTCCATCCAATGTTAGTTCCTCTGGTAGGCGGAGAGAAGAAAAAGGAAGGTAAATGTTAGCCCCCCAAAAAACCCCAAGGAATTTAGATCGTAGTCTACCTGGACATTTTAAAATGCTGCCCCAAATGACACCAGAAGGAGAAAAAAAATAACTCAGTTTGCTTTCATGAGAGCCAGCTGGGCGTTGTGGCGGCAGTACTGGCTGCGAAACCAGGGGGCTGGGAGTTCTAGTTCCACCTCAGCCATGAAAGCCGGCTGGGAGACTCTCTCTCTCTCTCTCTCTCTCAGACCAGCCCACCTCAGAGGGTTGTTGTTGCTGTGGGGAAAGCAGGCGGGAGGAGGTAGTCCTTGACATAGGACCACCAGGGAGGCCAGCATTTCCGCGGCTAAGCAAGGCAGCTGGTTCCAGGGACCGGCCAGGCGTTGCAACCCTTTTTTTTTGGGGGGGGGGGTGGCACAGGTTGTTAAGTGAATCACTGCAGTTGTTGAGTGAATCCAAGCCCAGGTCGCACACCCAGATCCAGGGACACAGCAACCGTCCTAAATACGGGGCCAATTTCCAAAACCGTCCAAAGTTGGGTCACGGGTGGGTTAAAAAAAAAAACACGGTCAGGTCACTTCTTTCAGGGTCATGGTGCCATGGTAACCGTCCCTAGACGGATGGATGTAAGTCGAGGACTACTTGTGTTAGGCAAAGCTGACCCCATCCATCCACGTGAAGATAAAATATATTTTAATATAGAATAATATAAATAACAGGTGTTGACTTTTCTTGAGCCCCTTTTTTGACCTCCTCCTGACTGAAAACCTCGGGGGGGGGGGCAAAGAAATCACTAGACTGGCGGGAGCGCCCTCGGCGTATGCTCAGAGGCACCCTTTCCCCTTCCTTGGCAGGGCCGGGCTTTCCCCTCACCGCTGGGCCCTCCGTTGCCGGGGCAACGCCTGCTCCGGCCACGCCCCTCCCCTCCCCTCCCCGGGCCGGCCGGGCGGCCTCCCATTCCACGGGTGGGGGGGGGGGAAGAGTCCCGCGGAGTCTCGGGGGGGGGGGGGCACCTCCACGCGCGGCACTTACGCGTCGCCCTGCACCATAACGCCTCCCGCTTCAGAAAAACCCGCTTCTGGGGACACGCGTGTCCGCGTACCGTGAGAACGGGCTCCTACTTTCTCCCCCCCCCCCCGTTCCCCCCTCTCAACCGTCAGCGTGGGCCGCTCCCCGTGATCCTTTGCGCGGCGCCAGGCCTTCCCTCGCAGCAGCGCCCCCTAGCGGAGGACAGACAAGGCTTGGCCGGCCGCGTTGCCTCGGAGACGGCGCTCGGTTCCGGTCGCCATAGCAGCCGCGGGTACCTCCCCCCCCCTCTGTTGCTTCCCTTCCCTGCCGCGCGCCTCAGGCCCACTTCCGGCGCGGCTCCCTTCAGGCCGGAAGTGCGGCCCACCGGCGCGCGCCTGCCCGCCGGCCCGCGCGCTCGTCCCTCAGCCGCGTGCGCGCTCCCGTCCTCCTCAAGCTCCGTCCTCTTGCTCGCCGTCGCCGTCCACCCGCGCCGGCCGGCCGGGCCCGCGATGTGGCAGCAGCCGCCGCCGCCGCCGCCCCCCCCGCCGCTGCTTTCGTCGCCCATGGAGACCGAGCGGGCCCCGCCGGCTCGGGCCCCGCCGCCGCCTCAAGCGCTTCAGGCCGCGGGGGGAGACCAGGCGCCGCCGCCGCCGCCGCCGCTGCTGCCGCCGCCGAGCGGGGCCGCCACCGCCGCCGCCGCTTCCACCCCGGGCAGCGGCGAGCTGAGCCTGCCGGGCATCCTGCACTTCATCCAGCACGAGTGGGCGCGCTTCGAGGCCGAGAAGAGCCGCTGGGAGGCCGAGCGGGCCGAGCTGCAGGTGGGGCGCTGAACCGGGCGGGATGGGGGGCGAAGGGCGACCCTGCCCGCCGCCATCTTCCTTGCGGAGACCGGGGGGCGGGGGGAGCACTCCATCCCATAATAAGGCTTGCCAGGCGCCCCCCCCATCCTCAGTCCCGGCTCCTTTGCTTGTGCCGTGCTTGGAGGCTGCTGGGACTTGTAGTCCCCCTTCTGCAGATGGGGGCCTCCTTGGAGCCCCCCCTTTAAAACTAGGGGGGGTCTGTAACCCTCCAGGGGGTTGCTTGGGGGGAAGTTTCAGGGACCCTCAAGCCCAGCACATCTGAACCCCCCCCAACCACAGCTGAGGGGGGTAGCCATGCCTGAATTCCTCCCCTCCCTCCTCCCCACTTTGTGGTCCCTTCTGTCCTGTAGAAACTGGGTTGGAAATTGGGGGACCATGAGCCCCTCCCCCCCTTGATGGGTGTGTGTGTGTGTGTGTGCTGAGAGTTTGGGATGCAGAGGTGAGACACTTAAGCCACCCCCAAAAGGGGTTTAGAAGGAAGGGTTGGATTGCCATAAAGTTTCTCTAGGGCCAGAAGTAATCAGGAATTCGAAATAATACATGCCTCCCACGCCTGCATCGGGTTCGGCTTCCTTGATCTCAAAAGATCTAGGCTGGATCACATCTGGGGAATGGTTTTCTTCCTTGGTTGGTAAAATGTATGCAAATCACGCTGACTTTGTAACGTAAACCACCCAGAGAGTGCTCTCAAGCGCTGGTATAGAAGCCTGAATGCTATTGTTCTTTCCATAAAAGATTAGATCACCATTTGCCCGGGATGGAATAAAAAAAGGATGCCTGTCCCGGGACACGGGGTTGGGCTAGAAGACCTCCCAGGTCCCTTGGAAGCCCTGGGATCCTATGAACGTGGCCGTACGGGAAACAGATTAGGACGTCGAACAGCATCCCACAAAAAGGCGCTTTGCAATCAGCTTCCGTGCTGTGGTCAGAAACACACCTGCAGACGTGCTGTTTTGGCTACAATTCAGTCCCCGGGTGTCGGATGTTTAGGCAGGCCATAAAGAAGGAAGGGGAGAGGCACGCTAATATCCGTGAAGGATAACTTTATTCGAAGCTGTGTGTAAGCCCGGGCACGGGGTGCTAAGTCCCGCTTTGGAAGGCTGCTCTTCGCACCGTCTCAGACAATTCGGTGGGGTCTGTAAAAAGAGTAAGAAATTAGAATCGATGTTCGTGGAGTCTAGTGCTGGAATGGCAGCGAAATGTCCCGTTTTTAGCCCCCCCTCCCCAGCTGGCGATAGAGTGGGATGTGTAGGGAAACGTTGCAGCCGCCTACTCGGTAGCAGATCAGGGAAGTATTAAAAGAACGGAGCATCTGTGCGAGGTAGGGAGGAAAACTCATCCTTGTCACCCCAAGCCGGTTGGGAAGCAACAGTCCCCCGGCTGCCATAGTGACGGTGGAGAATATAGAAGGCGGGTGGTGCTTCCGTATCTCGGAGCGTGTACAAATATAGGATTGGGTGTGATGACTGTAGACTGGAGATGAGTGTGGCAGATGCTCCCTTGAGAGCAAGGAAGGAGGATCCGTCTAGAGAAAGCGTTCCCCTCAACTGGCCGTGGGGCCATCGGACAAGAAGCAATGGATGGAGACTAATCCAGGGAGAGAAGCGACCTGGAATTAAGGAGAAACTTCTTAGCAGTGAGGAAAATTAACCGGTGGAACTGCCTGCCTCCAGAAGTTGTAAATGCTCCAATACTGGAAGTTTTTCAGAAGAGACTGGACAGTCACTAGTCTAGAATGGCACATAGGGTCTCCTGCTTGAGCAGGGGGTGGACTAGAAGACCTCCAATGTCTCTTCCGGCTGTATTCTGATTGACGTGCAAATCGCCGGCCATCATTCTAGGTCCTTTGACTACAGGTAGTCCTTGACTTACGACCATTCGTTTAGTGATCGTTTGAAATTACGATGGCAATGAAAAAAATGACTTTTTGGACCGTTTTTCACACCTACGACTGTTGCGGCATCCCCCTGGTCGCGTGATCAGAATCGAGACACTTGCCAACTGACTCATAGTTACGACAGTCGCGGTGTCCCAGAGTCATGGGATCCCCTTTTATGTCCTTTCGACAAAGTCAGTGGGTCAGCCCAATTCACTTAACCGTCATGTGACTATTCAACACCTGCAGGGATTCCCTTAGCACTGTGACAAGAAAGGGCGTAAAATTGAGCCAAACTCACTTAGGTTTTGCTTAGGAACAGAAATTCTGGGCTCAGTTGCAGCCGTAAGTTGAGGACTTACCTGTATGTCTTGGTTGGTGGTGTGAACTCAACCATCGGGGTTTCTGACACTGGGATCTCCAGAGTGTGTTTCTTGGCGCCTGCCATTCCTTGCCCAGCGAGTTTTACAGGTCTCTTTGAAACAATTAAGAGAGAGAAAAAAGCCTCGCGCACACCGACTGTCAGAGCTGGGAGGAGGGAGGGCGCACCCGTCCATGGTTAGCCACGATTAAAGCCCCACTGAGACTCAACCACCACAATCCCCTCTCCCGGCCCCACTAATTCTAGCAAATACCCCCCCCCCCGCCTCTCTTCCCTTTCTGGTGCTCTGAGGGGTCCTGCCACGGAGCTTATCCACTGCACCAGTTCTGCGAAGCCTGGTTAAGCTGCATCCTCAGTGCAGCCTCTAATCATTAACCCACTCAACCTGTTTGCACTGGCACCGAAGTGGAGACCAGATCCCTCTGGCCACGTTCACTGTGGTTTTAGCCCGAGAGAGAGATGCCAGGGTTACTATTGGAAGCTGGGCGAAATGCTCCTCCTCTTAAGCCCCCTTCCCTTTGCACAATGATTTCATTTGTTTGTTCACTATAAATAATATTTATTATATAAATACATCTAAGCTCACAAAGGACCCCTCCGGTTGCTTGTCTCTTCCCTTCTGAAGAAGTGCTGCCCCATCCGGAATCAATGAGGAAAGTTCCCCAGGTCTGGGCAGTTCTTAAAACCTCTTCGTCCTGTTAGGGTCCGTCCTCAACCTGTTCCTCCCCATCCAGACCACCACAATCTCCAGGCACAAAACGTATGAGGCCTCCTTTGGTTGGCCCAGAGTGCAAAGCTACAACCTTGGTATACGGAAATCTATGGAGACTTTCAGCCACTCGGGTCAACTGTTGTCCCAAAGGTGCTTTTCCAAGAGGCAGCTGGATGGTTAAGTTAATAAGAAGGACGACATGTGTACACTGAGAACATTTGCACCAAAGACAAATTCCTTGTGTGTCCAATCACACTTGGCCAGTAAAGAATTCTCTTCTCTTCTCTTCTCTTCTCTTCTCTTCTCTTCTCTTCTCTT